CTTTGGAGAGAGACTCCGGGCCGCTGGGATTAATAGCACCGGCTACGGAGGTGTCCGTGATCGCGCTGATTACCCTCTTCAGCTCCACCCCACCGTAAGACAAAGGCCCTGAGGCCGTCACACTCTTCTATAACAACAGTTAAAAATATATATGTATATAAAATATACCGCTGTACCGACGCCATGATAAGACTGATGTTACGCTGAGAGCAGCCGGGAAAAGCACTGACATGGGCGCAGCCTCTCTGGTGGTTGACTAATCAGAACGAGTGGCCGAGCTGACCAATCGGAGCACACTAGGCTCACAGGGAGGGGGGGGCAAGAGCTCCAACGAGTCGTTTAGTGGAGAAAGTGAATACTGCTGAATACACATGCTTGACAGAGATGCTGTATGCGAAACCAATGTGAGTTTGGAAAATTGCACAGTATAAATCTATTTTAGTATACCTCAACAATGTAATTATGATCAGTGGAAATGGCCATGACATGGGCCCTTTAAGACGAATGTTCTTGGACTGTTTCTTCTCGGGATGCCCAGTGCTTCACTTGATGGACCGAAAAGGCCTTTACATTTTTCCATCCTTTCAGTCACAAGCATCTCATCCTCTCACATGTGCAAAATGTCTGTGTACTTTCTGCAGTTAAAACGAACACGTTAAAACGACAAACTTGTACTTTATCTTATCACAAGTTAAAGCAATGTAGATACATTTTTTATGGATGTATACAATTAATTTAAACAAATAAAGGATCAACCTGTTAACAACAAATAATCTTCGACTGAGTCTCTTAATACTGACCAAATTGTAATTGAAACTAATCTTATGCGTCATTTGAGGTCAGTTTTAGTTTGTTGTCTTGGGATAAAACCTAATTGTCAACACAAGTGAACTCCTCCAGAGATTTCATTAGGAAAGTCTGCCAGTGATATACCACTTAAAGAAGAGCACATTAAGTCTTTGGGGGAAATGGATTTAGCTTCTTTTAGTGGATGCAATTCAATCGCTTAATTTGCACCAGAAAGACATCTCGTTTTGTCGATTTATTTTCTTTTTACCCGTTTGAATTAGTTTTTATTCTTGGCGACCATTTATCGTTTTAACTGCATGTTTTTAATTTTGCAATGCTCCAAGTCATTTCCCAATTTCAACAAAAAAGATCATATTGAAACAATATTTTCAATACTTTGTTTGGCATTTTTGGCCTACAAATGATGTATTTTTGAACAGGAATATTATTTATAACATCTGTTTGAAAGAATGTAAAAGGTGATATTACTTATATATATAATCCAAAAAAATATACAGTGTTTTTGTCAGGTTTGGGGAAAATAGGACCCAAGTGCAGTTAAAAATACAAAAAGGTTTGGTAACAAAAAGCGAGCTTTATTAAAAAAAAGCCGAAGACAGGAAAAACAAGAAACTAATTAACAAAAACAAAACCGCGGAGCACGACAGACAGGAACAAACTTACAGACGGGAACAGGCAGGAGACATGGGGTGTTTCTCAATCTCGAGTATGCTTGCTTGGTAGCACATGTCTTCCGAGTCACTTGCTTCAGAAGCGAGGCAAGAATACTTCCTGGCATTCGGAAAACGAAGAGTGGAACAGGCGAGCAAGTGTGCAGGTGTGCGTCATATGAGAGGCCCCGCCTTAAATTTTCCACCACAGATTTGGGGAAATTGGTCCGTGCGCAAAGCATTGTGGGGATTTTAAGACCGCGGAGTCTACACATGTGCAGCCTCGAAATTTCTCCAAGCAAAGTACGCCGGGCTCGGTAGGATTCCAAGTATGCTGGACATTGGAACAGTACTTCGGCGGCACTCGATGCTTGAAATAGTGGCTCTGGAGCAGCTTTACTCGAGATTGAGAAACACCCAGTGACAAGCATAGACGAGCATAGGCGAGGCAGGGAACAAGGACACGAAGAGACGACAGGTAGCATGGACATGAAACGACGACGAACAGACATGGAGCACAGGGGAAAACAAGAGTAAATACACAGAAGGGTAATCACAGGACAAGACACAGCTGGGCAGGGGAGGCAGAAACACAAGGGCAACAGGTGAACACAATCAGACAATCAGACACACCAGGGAAACTAAAGACAGGAAGGCAAACACAGGAAGTACGATCAGACAAGACACAAGGAGGAAAACATCTCAAAATAAAAAAGGTGGAAAATGAAAACAACATTAATCCAAAAACCATGACAGTTTTTTTCTTGTCATGTCATACTCAAAATCATTTCGAACTGGACTGGAATATGTTCTATATTTACTGCAGGGACTCTGTACTTGCCGCTGAATAAAAGCTTTTAAAGCAAAGAGTTATTTTTATCAAAATAGCTCCTTCAGACCCCCCAATCATTTCTGTGGAAGGGCTATTTCAAAGATCACTTACGTTATGTGGCATTTATACTGCCTGCAGTCTTTGGTAAAAGGACAGGAAACGCTGGAAAAGGAGCTGAAAGGAGTGACAGCCACAGACGGCTTGAGTTAAAGATTTTGAAGGGTGCAGCATGTAGCTAAATGATATTAAGGATATCTTTAGCACTAACATTTGGAACAGTGTTGGTAGAAACTGTTTATGCAATGAAAAGACTGCATGACTACATTTCCTTTATTTGTGTTCAATATATATTGTTTTTGGATAGTTATGTGTGATCATTCATTAGTATTGTTTACCATAACGTTAAATTGTATTTTCTGTTCGAAAAATATGTATGTGTTCTGACTTTTTGAAAAATATCCTGCAAATAAATATATTTCTTTCATCACACATTTTACAATCCTTAACGATTGATTTACCATGTGTTACAAATGTCATCCTTTTCTTGTCTTTGTGTCAAAGCATTTTTGTAATTGACCAGTTCTTTTAAAATATAATTTAGGGAGGATTTCACATCTTTCATCAACTGGAAAACAGGGTGCTTTTAGGTTATTACGGACCAATACATCTGGTTTCATTTCATCATATCTATTGTTTCATTATTATCGAATACAGCAATGCAACTCGAATTCATCACAAAAAGTGTGATCATTTCTGCAGCACATTTATCAACATGTAATCCTTTGGTTTATCCTTATAATTAAAAAAAGGGCCACATTTATAAACACATCTTGAATGAAAGATATATATATAATAATATATTACTGATCAAAACAGCATATATCATAGTATATATCTCAGGGCGGTGGTGGCGAAGTCGATAGGGAGTTGGCTTGGCAACTGGAAGGTCACCAAGTCCCGGCAAGACCAAGTGCTACCAAGGTGTCCCTGAGCAAGGCACCACTCCCTACACTGCTCCCCGGGCGCCGTTCAAAATGGCAGCACACTGCTCCTAACACTAGGATGGGTCAAATGCAGAGAAACAATTTCCCCACGAGGGATTAATAAAAGTCCATCTTTCGAATATCATATTATTGATAGTACTGGAAATCGTGACACTTCGAATAAAAAAACGACATAAGCAGAGATGCTGTAGAACTTTTCCTTTAATTAAAGTATTTCACATCCACAACACAGTATACAAGCAGACAGTCAGAGGTTGTAGCATCACAGTAAAAAAAAGGGATCTGGCTGCACAATCCAGACTCACAACAGAAAACATGCAGCAACATCTTCATCTACGTCTGGAAATAAATGAAAGACTTCGGTGTCAAGTAAAGGACGGGCACATTTCATTTTTCAGAGAGATCCTGCCAAGACATTCACACTTGAGCCTATGTAGAATATATTTTAAACGTGAAATGTGAACGTCAATGAAAAGCAACATCCATCACTCTCACACACAGCGGCACTCAATTCTCATTTTAAATGTCATCAGTCAAGTCTCTCCACCCCTATTAAATTAAACAGCTATTGAGTGCAGAGACACAAGGGCTGATTTCCCAGCAGCAGGATGACAGGAAAGGTGATTCCTGTAATTCCCCCGTTGCCAAACAAAGATCAACATTTTAAATAAACAACCTTGTTTTGACCACACAATGAGCGTGACTCTGGGAATAATGGTGTCTGTTTGTTGGTTCATTACCATTACGTTTCTCAGAGGGAGAATCCTGATTGCTTTGTTGGTTTTAAGCTTGACAAACACGTCCACATTTTACAATATCAGAACACCAGCAAAGATTTGAACATGTAATCAGGAGCGTTAATTGCATCAACAATTGCTTTTGGCTTGTTAGTATTCAAGCCCACTGACAGTATGATCCATAATGCAATTTTGACTAGTTTCTAATACAAATATCAACAATTTATTTCTTATTTGTCAAAATGATAACAAAAAACATGTGACTTTTATTCAAACTTAACAACAGAAATATGTAATGTTGGAATTGTAACACAATTAAACTGCAATTCAAATCTTGAATTGCATTTCAGATTAAATTCAATGGTAACTAGTCTTAACATTTAGGGGGCTTGAAAACACAATTGTGTCAAGGGTATAATTTAGTGTGTATTAATTAATTCACCCAATATAATGCATTGTTAATGAGCTTTAAAGGCGCAGGTAGGCATGTTATTTTCAGTAATTCTGAGTTAGCTTAGCTAGCTGTCTGCCATTGTTGTAGAAAGTACAATAGAAATGAAATGTCTACTCAAACAGAGGATCATTTTTCTTATGATTTGGTTGCAACAACATTGTTTCCAATGGCTAAACCTTTTTTCCCCAACAGTAATACGAATCAAAATCATCTCCTACATTTTTAAACCGTTCGTTTTTTATGTGTGTGTTTTCTCAGCAGCAGTCAAGTGTGCTTATCAGGAGTAATCTGCTCTTAACATTATTCAATGTATTTATACATATATGCGGTAAACCTCCGGCTCAGCTTAAAATCTATCAACAGAGCAATCAGAAGTGAACAAACCAATTCAATAAATCCAATGTTTTGACAGGAAAAACTATGCTGGCATGTTGTCAAATGTAATGCTTTTGGGGGTTTCCGACACCACCCCCCCCCCCCTGCCTGAAACGCCTCAATTGGACTCCTTTGTTTACATCCGTAAAATAGTGACATTACTATGTAACAACCACACTTCTATTGGCCAGCGCTCCAACACATTGTACGTGATAAGCTAAGTGGCGGGACATCTCTAAGTGGTTGACCAATCATAACAGAGCATGCCAGCTAACCACTCCGAGCAGACTGGGCTCTGGTTTCAGACATTAAAGCATGGAGACATGTCCCAGTAAAGACACTACATACTGATATGAACCTGATGTGCAGAATAGGGCCCCTTTTTTCCATCTGCCAGTCTTCATCGTGATTGAAACGCATTAAACTTAAAAAGGTGTAACGCTGATATAACCTCCTAATATGACTTCAGATATGTAAGCAGAGGTAAATAGATTACTGTTTATTGTTTTCCCCTCTGCATTTCCATTTTATTAAATGATAAGCCACATAAGCAATTGTTTCCAATAATACAAAACAGTACTCAATTTGAATCAACAATATTTCAGGTGTAAAAAACATTTGTGTCAGCAGTAAATCTTCATCTAGAATCAGAGCACATTGGACTCACCACTGCACGATATGAATCCACTGAAAGTCACCACTGACACTACTGAAGTATGTTAGTCATGCTATAACTGTACGAGCAGGCAACAGATCACTGACTTTCACACCAAAACAAAGCCGACCAGCAGTTTCACTGTAAATAACGAATATATAGAGAGAGCATATCAACAACAGTGCTACAAGGGAGCTACAATCACCAGGTGAGAGAAAGGCTCTTTGTGTTTGAGGCGCCTCAGTAATTTGCATCTCTGTGATGTCTCTGATTTATTTTCTGTCTGCTCTCATAATCCTCATAAGAGCTGCTTTTTACGTCAAAACACTCAATATTGTCTGCCTCGTTACCTTGTTTTCCTTATTTGACTCTTGACATTTCTACCTCTTCCCCCTTGGGCGTAATTAAAGTTGAAACAGGCGTAATTAAAATGCCTCTCATCATCACTGCTCACTCGCTGGTGCATAATTGGCTGACAATCGTAGAAACTAGTACATTATGTAGATATATATACAGTACAAATCCAACAAAAGCATTTTACAAAACATGTCGTACATAGAAAACATAGGACAAAATGTCATGCTAATCAAAACACACACACTTTCTCTCATTCTCACACACACATATACATCGTAAGGCTTTAGGGTTTCATAAAACTTTGAGCATTTCATGCAAACACCAGTATGTCAGTGACATGTGTGCCATGCAACTGTTACTACAGTGCTCTGTTATTCTCATATGAGACATTTAATACATTTACATGCACACAAGTACTGTATCTGCCAATACTGGGACTAAGGCAGCGGCACTGGTTGCATAAATGGCCGACTGTTAAATTCGCTTTACATGACAGACATGTTTAATTTGATTACACAGCAAGAAGTGTAGCTTTTTAATCAGCACATTTATTGTCCCATTGAGATCAAAATTATCCAACAACTGGAAATATGTGAAGTGCTTTAGAGAAAATGATTGGAGAGGCAGATTTAACTGAGGCTGCGTGACTGCCTGATAAAAAGGAAAGCAACTAAAGTAATCATCTTGGACTGTGAGTCTGTGCAGAATAAGACGGCGTTATGGAACCGGTCTGAATGCAGAGTGAAGACGAGGCGAGAGCTCGTTGCCTGGTTGCACGAGATTTAATCAAGGTGCCCACAATGAATGAGGCCTTCGAGACAGGTTGCAGTGGATCGTGCTCACAGGTTCCTCAAAAGGCTCCAAAGATCTCATCAGCCAAACTGAAATTGAAATGAGGGAACGTTTATCATATGTTCTTCCTTTCAGCTCCAGATTCCTCCAGCCTGTGTGAACTTATTTCTGGACAATGAGTTTTGAAAACCTACATTTTATAGAAAATACAAAGGGCGGTAAGAATATTTGAAATTAGCTAGTTTGTAAACGAGTCTTTGAATGTTGCACGGGTAGCAACCTTTTATTTGTATTTAGCTTGTAATAAAACTTGGGAGAAAAAACGGGTAAAACAATCCTGCGCAGGTTTGAAGAAAAATAAACGTAGTAGGTGCATTTGTTATTTTCAATTTGCAATCCTCATCCTATCATTGGTTGTTCAATGTTCTGCTAAATGAAAAACGTATCAATGCACCAACAGATGCTGTCAAGGAGACGATCGCTTCAAAGCAAACTAGGATGTAAACAATGCAGGATTTGAACTTATAAGTAAGTTACACCTCAAGGATTCACACAATTCATTTAAGTAAGAACAACTGACTTTAACGCTTTAGTCAAATAACAGGCAAAACCCAGACATTTCCTGGAACTCTTCTTCCCGTTAATATCTATACTGACAGATTGTTGCAATTAGGGCTTTGCATTATAATCATTTTTCAGATCTGCATGTAAATGTGTCTATTGTTTGTCTGACGCCCACCCATGCAGGAGGCGGGCCATGAGGACTGGGATCAAAGGTTCATTTGCACATCAGGATGTAGTGCCACTTCAAAGCTCTGATTCACAAAAGCATCTTTGTGCCGAACACGCCGTGCAGATAGTGTAAGCTTCACATCCTGTGCTGCTGTGGATTTACGTCCCATTAGAATGATAAAAACCATGAGGAACACAGGACAGCGATGGATGCACAGGGGTTGTGCAACCTTTGAACCAGTCAAGGGAGTGGGCTAGAGGGTTGTCCAGAAGAAGAAAAACATGCTTTCATCTGTGAAATTCATCTGCTGCTGTCGAGCCAGGCTGGGTTTAATGAGCAGAAGGAACCAGGGAAACGTCCAACACCATAAATCCTTACATCAAGAGTTTCCTTTGATGACTGGTGTAAAAAGAAAGTCTCTATTTCAATACTTCCTTCTTCATCGTAAAGTCCACTCTGTTTACATATAGTGGAATAAAAACAGTAGTATGAGTAGAAACCAGTGCAGACATCTAATTTATCGTTCAATCCGTGTGTCCCCCCCCCTCTGACCTCCAGGTGCTTTACACCCCGGAGAGCAGCTTGGTCAGGAGCACCTCTCGCTCCCCCAGCAGGTTGTCCCTCTTCAGACTCGTGCCTTTGTTCACCACCTTGAACTTCACCGACAGCTTCTTCACCTGCACGGCGCTGATGGAGTCAAAGAAGAAGTCCTCGTTGAACACCGGGTTGCGGCTGTTCTTGATGATGTTGCTCCTCTGCTTCTGCATCTTTCCCGGGTTCAGGTACACGGACACGCAGCAGTTGATGCTCTTGATGTCAAAGTGCTTGTCGTAGAGACTCTCCGCGGCCAGAACGCGGATCAGCAGGCGGGAGGTGCTGGCGTCGTAGTTGGCGCTGATCCTCATCGTCCCACCTTTGTGCAGGTTGACGGTGTGTTCCCGATGGTGGTCCGACAGCCCAGCCCCACCGAAGGACGGACCGTGGAGCCGCCGCTGGATGTTGGGGCTTGGTTCTGCCGAGCTGCACTCATCAGTGGAGAGGGAGCTGTGGCGAGCGAACGTCCGCTTGACCTTCACGACTTTGGCCTGGGTCTCCTGCGTGAAGATCTTGAGCAGCGAGGCCGAGCGGGAAAGCAACGGAGAGCTGAAGGGCGAGGACTCTGCGGAGGAGCAGGTGTCGCTCTCGCCTCCGCTGAAGTACCGGTACGGGTTCATGTGGGAGCTGTTGCAGTCGGCGGGGTTGAGATGGTTCCCCGCATCGCTGCTCCTCCCGTGGGTCCTCCTCTGGGTGTTCGGGGAGGAGATGGGGCTGCTGAGCTCGCAGTGGAAAAGCGACTCTTTACGGCGAGTGTGAGGGCTTTCCTTCAACGTTGCGAAACCGTACGGTGTTTGAGTCTTGGGAACGTAAGGCAGGGACATGGCGGTTTGCGACTGAGGGTCTGCGTTGGTGTCGCCAACATCGTCCGCGCTCTCGATCTGGATGATGTGACGGTTCGCGGCTCGCAGCAGGTTCTTGGTGTCGCCGGCGATCTTGGCCACCAGGCGGGGACTCCTCGGGCTGCTGATCTTCCTGCCGCCGCCGTTACTCTGCTCCAACGCTGCTGAAGGTTGAAGAGTCTCTTTGGGTTTCACTTGAAGAATCTCTGGCTCCGGGGCGCCGCTGACCAGCTTCGGAGGAATGAAGAAGTCCGGGATCTGGTCCGGGGTGAGGACGTTGCTGTAGGGGACGCCTTTCCTATCTGCGTTATCGCCCTGACGCAGCACGCTGGTCTCCACCGAGCCGCGGATCTTATCCAGAACCCACATGGTCCCACCGGACTGTGGGAGGTGTGGGTGTGTGGAGAGCAGTCAGGTGAGTCTGCAATTATAACACACAAAGGAGCGAGGGAGGGAGTAGAGGATCAGAGGGTTAATCCACAGGAAGCAGACGGATCAAAATAAAGGTGTTGCAGCTCTGACGATAATGCACGATATGATGAAAGTATTTGAGGGATTAAGACAGAATAAACAGGAAATATTGCAGCTGCAGCAAACTGAACTTGAAACGCTATTGACTCCAGATGCTGTGAAACTGAATCTTCAAAAAGGCTCTTTGATGATCTGATTTACTCAGCTTATTACATTTAAGGGATCTAACAGATACAGGCAGCGTTGTGAAGACTTTTAAGAGACAAATGATAGAAAACCAACCAGAATGCAACTGTTTTACAATATTAACTGAATATAAAAACAGTCGTAATTGATTTTAGACGGCAGAGTGGCTTTATTGATTGTTAGAGTGAATATAGAGCCAGTCTTGGAATAGATTAATACAAAACAAAAAAGGTTCTTTCCTATTTTTAAATCTTGATATTTGTAAATATCATTCTTCATTATCATGATTGTTAAACATTAAATAATGATGGTACCTTGTTCTTTTGCATGCATTTTATTCTTAAAACTAAGACAATTCAACGTCATGCCAGGCTTTCTGTTATACTTAAACAATATGAGATGGAGAGAAAAAATGCATCAGAAGAAATTACTTTATGGTCGATTCGAAATAATGAAATCACATTTATATTTATTAACTAGCCACAGAGTATATTCCCCCTTCTTTATATCATATTGATATATCAGTTTTAATCATAAAAGTTGGAGAAAACGTTCAATAAAAGTTACAGACGGATATTAAATTCAACAGGTGCCGGAGCATCTTCCTCCAATTACGCAACACTCCGTTTTCCAAAACCTCTAACACCCCGTGTCTCTGAGTAATCTGATCCAACTCACTGCTCCTGTCTGCAGAAATGTGTCAATAAAATACTCACAGAAGACACTAACTCGTCTTAGTCCACTCGCTCCGTGGCAACAGGTGTTTTCTCCACGGTAAGCTGTGCGCTGCGCGGCGCTGCTCTGCGCCTTCAGTCGGTCTCTGCTGCGGAGCTCCGGGCTTTATATCCGGCTCAGGCTGCAGCTGACCAATGAGATCAAACTGCGCTCCATCCAGGAGAAGTGGAAAAAAACACACTGGTTACATATCAGAGGAACCTAACAGGTTACATGTTTAACCTGCAGCCACAGATCCAGTCACAAAGTGAACCTGGGAAAAAGATTTACTGAAGTACATTTAGAGTTACTTATATTAGACTATTCTGTATCTCTTTCATGCATGGTTTTTATGAATCTGTTATTCCATTATGGTTATTTATTGTATTCCTTTCTGGTGTCTTATTATTAAGTGTTAATGATGATGTAAAGCACTTTGAATTGGCTATGTGTCTGAAAATGTGCTACATAAATAAACGTACCTTATACCTCACCTTAATATTGTATGTGTTGTGCTTCTTCTACACTTAAAGACAATATTGTACTTTTTGCTCCACTAAAATGATTTGACAGCTTTATTAACTTTACAGATTCAGCTCAAATAAAATATAAAATAATTAATAAATACAAGTTTACATAATTATAGGTTAAGACATCCAGCAGCAGTAAAAATATTTATTGAAATTAGCTTCACGACATATAAGACATAATGGACTAATAACCATATAATGTAACTGTATGATTTGAAGATGAAGGCAAGACAATCTTTACTTTGGTACTTGACCTGTATGTTGATACCAATATATTTATATATTCATACTAAAGGAACAGTACTGTATAAATGTACTTAGTAACAGATATACAATCAACAGAGGATTTAGAATTAGTACACGTATGTCCCTTCTGCTTGAGGTACCTGTACATTGAGTATTTCAATATAACTTTATTCTTTGACAACTCAGGAAGACATATTGTCATTTCTTCTCTACTTCATTCACATGACAAACACAGAGATGGGGAACTTAGAGTACAAATGTGCACATTGTACAATATAAGTGGGCCATTAGGAAGAAGAAGACAACCCTTTGTTCACTCTGTTGCTGAAGACATAGAGTACAAACACACACGTATTCAGATATGCACAACACATGCATCTTTTCTATGGAGAGGTGTCAGAGCAAAGTGGCTTCCAGGTTTTTCCGCGGCGCCATGCGGGGAGCATTTGGGAGGTTTGGTTTCTTGCTCAAAGACACCTCAACAATGCCCAGAAGATGAACAGACACCTCTCCAGATACCAGATTGGACCTTTTGTTTGGTCCAATCGGGACTTGAACCAGCAACCCTTTAAATCCCAAGCCAAGTCCCTACAGACTGAGCTGCTGCCACCAATCATACATCATGAGTACTTTTACTTCGGGTGATTTGAGTATATTTCAAAGCCAATAACTGTGTACTTTTATTTAGGAGTAAACATACAGGACTGACGTGTCACAGAGTATTTCACTGGTGTTGCTACGTTTACTGAAGTAAAAGCAGTAACTTTTTTTTAACCACCTGATGTTTTATGTGAACATATGTGCTGCAAGTGTCACGAAACGTGGGTATAAAAACAAGGATATCACAACCACTCGGCACAAGTCATCTTGTTTTCTTTTTCCAGGGATAAAAACATTGTTATTTGATTTCAATCAATCTCACACGGTACTCTCTCTTTGCAGCTTTCAATGGAGGAAACCATTAAAGTCATGATGACACTGTGTTTTTCAGATCATCAAAAGAGACAAATGATGTGTATTCCCGCTCTACGGCGACTGCACAGAGCTTTTTGTGAGTCTGTAAGTCATTATAAAAGCTATTATAAGACAGTTTGACCTTAAAAAGCACATGTTGGAGAACCTGAGTGGATTCATTCAAATGAAATTCTCTTTCTCCTATTTATTTTGCGTCCGTCTGTCACTGATTGGTTTCCCTGGAAACTTTGCTATGGCAACAAATACATTTGTCCATCTTAAAATAGGAAAGGGCCCCGCTGACTTCATTGATCTGCAGGACAAAAAGCCCAGGATTGGACCAGATTGCTTGATGTTGAGTCAAGTGCCATGTGGACTGAGAGGAGGCTGCTTTATCACAGATCTGTTGCAGGGAGACGATAATAGCTCTGCATCGACTCGGCACGAAGGGATTTAGAAATGTAAAGATTTCAGAGTCAATACGCGGAGGCAGGAAGGACAACAAAAGCTTTAAACAGCTGATAAAAAAACAGTTAATGTGAAAAGCCCTGTCAGATTTGCCTCACTCAGATGGACACTTAGATTCAGCATCTTTTAAAGCCATGGGAAATACAATATTATTGACCACAAGAAGAGCAGTCTCAGATTGCAGGGACACTACTCCTCCGTGCAATTATGTTGATGCAAAATTGTTTTAAATAGTAAGAATGTGTAAGAATGCATGTGTTCTTGAAGTAGAGAGCATACAGCAGGATACATGAGACTTGGATTGTTGTTGTATGAGAGTTTTTAAACCGTATAGATCTTTCTTCACAGTGTTGCTCCTTTTGCATAATATGCCATCAGCTTCTTATAGTAGATGCACGTTTGATAGGCTTACTGGATACGCACAAATGGGGCGAAGCCTGCGAGCGAGTTCAGGCAGTCAACTCGAGCACCATACATTAACACGTGACGCACCTCGTCCCTCTTACAACCAACCAAACACATTCTCCTAAACATGCCGCTCTATTGAAGCTGCCAGGTCTTCCTGCCTCTGCCTCGCTATGCTGCCGCTGCTGTGTTCACTTGCTATTGCTATGTTCATGTTCCTGCTGCTGTGTTTCATGTTGCTGCTACTCAACAAATGTAAGATTTATTGTGTATTTCTATTCTCAAACGTGGCCCACATTTACCTTAAAGTTATTTTTGTAGACTTAAAGGGGACCTATCATGCAAAATGCACTTTTGTACGTCTTTTATACATGAATATGTGTCCCCGGTGTTCCAGGGAACTCACCAAGTGTCAGAAAACACAACCCTCTCTATTTTCCTCCATACCCAAATCTCTAAAAAAGGGGCTGCTACGGATCTGATAAAAACTGATCCAGATTTGAACACTGTCCTGACGTCAGGACGGTGGCGCTACGGCTATTGGGCCAACTCCACCAATCAGGAGGAGACAGCCACGGCCATTGCCGTTCGAAAGCGCTGGAGACGCTGTAGTACATATGCCAGGCCTGTAGATGGTGCTGTTCTCACAGAATCAGCCCTTGCTAAAACAGATCTAAAAAATTTCAAATTGAGCGAAATGAGGCATGGCTAAAATGCATGATCTGTTTGGTATTTTGAAAAAAAAAAAGTATAAATATGCCTTATATAGGTATGGTCCTACACTATATTATTCAAATATAGCATGATAGGTTCACTTTAATTCATCACAACTTTTAACTGTTTTTGGTCTCTGCTTTCGCCATAGAGGCATGCAGGGAAAGCACAAGGTCAATCATTTTAGCACAGCTTTAGCTCACTCAATAAAGATCAACCAACAGCTGCATGTATAGAGGCTGCAGTCGAGGGATAAAAACCTTCGTTATGTTCTTATGTGTTTTCCCTAAACACTTTAAACTGACCTTGATGGAAAGGTCAAGGGAAGATGTGAAGGAAAACAGACCTCCTTTTCTTTAGGATAGGATGGTCCAGTGTATCCTTTTCTAAAAGACAACAATTATCATGCCTGCCATTTTAAACTTTTGGATTATTGCACAATTTGATATTGCATTTCTTTTGTGTTATGTATACTGCATTTACATTATTCAAGGTGCCTGAGATTCAAGATTTTCATTGCAAAAAACCACACTGTAGCTATTGCGCATATAACAAATAAAGCCTTTGAATCCTTTCACTCAGGTAAGAACCTTTCTAAGTTAAAAAATAAACTGGATTCCAGCTCTCTGACACATAATGCACGTGTTACAGTGATGAGAGACATGTATTTAACGTTTTCTCTTGACATTCAAAGACAGGTGCAGAAACACACAATATTTACCAACCCACATGCTAACCATGTCTGTTCACACTTCCTGCAAACATGTACACACACCGATGCGGATGCAGGGGAGGATAAACCTGCAGCTTCACATTCTTCGAGAACCTGAACCGGGATGTTTCTGTTCAACGACGACACGCTCCGGGTCAGCCTCAGTATGTACTGTAAACCTGAGGTCAGATATTTCACAGATAATTACACATCTTACCTGCTGAGTTCCTTCAGAGTTCATGTCTGATGGGAACAGGAGACACTTACCATGCGGATTGCAGAGGACCGTTTTAACCCTCAACCCCTGCTGTCTGTGATCTGAAGCAGGGTGAGACCCCGCTGCACTTTAAAGACCCTCAACATGTGACACTGTGCAGGAAAAAGTGTTTAAATCAGTTTCAGTGCAAACAAAACGTGTTTAATCAGGATCAACTATGCCTTTCAGAGTGACCCAAATCCAGGTAGAAGAAGTACTTTTACTTCAATTCAAGTGTAGGAATACTTTGTTACAAGTTATCATATCAAACGTTATTTATATAGCACTTTTCATGCACAAAAGTGCTTAACAAACCAAAAATAAAAATAAAATATTTAACCCTCCCTTCCCATTTAAACAGAGTAACACAGCTTTTTGATTGATAAAAACACTTAATACTGACACAAGATAATAACATGGTAAAATAAGAATTAAATAAGAATAAATACAAATCAATAAAAGCCATATTAAAAAGGTGGATCTTCAGTTGTTAAAAAAGAATTAAAACTTCAGAGAAATTTACTTTTGCTATAAAAAAAATGCCTGATACCTTCTATAAAATATGGGGGAAATTCTTAATCTTTTTAGAAAGGAACTACTGCAGCCCAACAAAGACTAATCAGTACAGCAACAGGACACATGAGCCCTGAAAACAATAAAAACGGGGTTTATCAAAGGGGTCAACAGAAAAACTCTAATAAATATAACAGCAACTAAACAGGTGTTAACTCAACAAACCAACCTCCTGCCACAATGACGCAACAAGGAACATCTATACTGGCTTGGCCAAACCAAAT